GCCATCTTTTTGGGTATCTTGAGGTTGTTGGTGGTGAATATGAGGAATATTTCAGTGTTGAAGAAAAGTTTTGGATCCTTGCCAGAGTCTCAATATGTATGTATACTGTACATATGTGTAACTGTGCGTTTGAGATAAAAACAAACAAACAAACAAATACCCAAACAGTTGGTAACACATCAATAGTACAAACACCGAGATAAAAAAAAAAAACATTGATTTTGTCAGATAACTATGGACTGCACGCGAAAGTAGGAAAGGGGGAATCGGAATAAATTTGTGAGAATTACAGAAAGGAAAATAAATAATGATTTGGTGATGTAAATTATTAAAGACAGAGTAATGGATGGGAGAGGCAGATAGAATAAACAAAGAGAGAGAAAAAGAAACAAAGAAGGAATGAAGGGGAAACTTGAAGACAGCGAGAGAGAGAGAGAGAGAGAGAGAGAGAGAGAGAGAGAGAGAGAGAGAGAGAGAGAGAGAGAGAGAGAGAGAGAGAGAGAGAGAGAGAGATAATCTTATCACGAACACCAACGCTTGGTCTTGTGTGATGATCATAATCTCAAGCAAAAGATAGAAATTACCTCCCATGTTCTTACACAAGGTTAAGCACGAACGTCGAAAATTATCGTAATTTCTAATCATGAGATTCTTATAATCACACCTGTTCTGTAATAAAATATATTGAACAGGATCATCTCTGTCACTGGAGTCTGTATTATGCCATAAATGAAAATAGTAGTTAAAGGTAAGATAGATTAGATTTTTTCTAGTATTAGGAAAATGGTCAGGAATTTTGACGATTTTGAAAATATTTTTTTATTTTTAGAAATCTTCTGGTGTACTCCATCGTCTTTTGTAGAATAGAGTAGCGTAGGAAAAAAAGATAAAAAACAACTATACATATATAGATAGATAAAAATACATATCTATTAAAACAACGCATTATCCAGATACCCCTCCCCTCCTCAAAAAAAAAAAAAAAAAAAAAAAATCGTCTCAAACCTATATATATATATAGATAGATAGATAAAATAACTTCCATATCTATTGAAACAACACATTATCCAGAAACCCCCTCCCCTCCTCAAAAAAAAAAAAAAAAAAAAAAAAAAAAAAACGTAACTCAACCGAGACCACTAATCCAAACCAACTTCCAGCTGCGCGAATGGACAATCAACCCGGCTTCGGCAGACAAGGAGGGCTTCCTCTCTGAACAACTGTCCATGACCGTGAACTACGTGGCCGAAGGGGAGGAACACCACGCCCACCTGCTGGCGAAGCTCCTCCCACAGGATCCTTTTAACAGGGCCTTCGTCATCGAGACGCTTTTTGATGTGAGGGAGATCAAGTTTTATACCGAGGTAAGATCATCATTATGTTCATCATCATCGTCGTCCTCGTCATTATCATCATTATCATCGTCTCCATCATTATCATCGTCATCATCATCATCATCGTCATCATCATTATCACCATCATCATTATCATCATCATCATCATCATCGTCATCATCATCATCAATCATCATCATCATCATCAATCATCATCACCATCATCATCATCAATCATCATCATCATCATCATCGTTCGTAGTCTGTATTTTCAACTGTTTATTGTTTTCAGAAACGCAAAAAATATCAAGGTAGATTGAACATGCGTTATTATTACTCAGATTGCCACATTTTAATCAGTGCAAGGCGGTAGCGTAGCTCATCGTTAGAACGCTGGCTTTGCAAGGTCTGACAGCCCCATGCTGGGGTCAAAGTCGAGGCGGAAAGGAACTGACCTCCCTGCCGCATGCTTAGTGCAGTGTCCCTCCACGGATGTGTCCCTTGCGTCCTCTTGGATACGGGATCACTTTCACTTCGTATTAGGCTTAGTTAGGGAACTGTAATTTCTGCACGCCGCGCCGGTGTAATTATGGAATTGGCAGTTTAGCTTTAACAACTAATCTAGTATAGTTTAATTTGGTGAATAGTGATGCAAAGCCACAAACATTGAAGTATATGTTCATTCAATCATATTCAGTTTTGTACCCATTTATATTATTCAGATACGTTTATAATTTTTGTGTGGTCTATTACAACTTTGATATTCTTCTGTTGCAAAATTACTTGTTTTCAGTCACCTATTGAAATTATGACGATTAGGCCATGTCTTTTACAATTGTCATGGTGTAACATGCAACTATTGAGAGCTAAATATTTATTTGCCTTTTATTAAAGATTTGGTGACCGGTTTCTTGATCCTCTAATAAAAGCACTTACACTGTTTCACAATTTGCAGATCAAACCTGAACTGGAGGAGGTCGAAAGAAAATACCTGACGGAGGACTTCCTCAGTTCCTCCTGGGCTCCTAAACTGTACTATGCCAAGCACAAGCAAGCCTCAGAGTCCATACTCGTTCTGGAGGATATGTGCCAGCATGGATACCAGGTGGAGGACTTAACCAAAGGCCTTAGTCAGGATCAGATCAAATCCGCCATCACTGCCCTGGCCAACGTCCATGCAGCGGCGGTGGCCCTCGAGGTGAAGGAGAAGAAGCCCTTGAAGGAGCGCTACCCCTACCTCCTCTCGATGGAACAGGCCGTGGAGTCCTTCACGTGCCTCGTCGATAGAGGTCTTCCCCTGCTCCTGAAGTTCCTCGAGTCGCGGAAGGACTACGCAGCGGTGCGCGAAGGGCTTCAGAAGTACCAAGGACAGAAAATGGCGGCTGATGTCTTTCGTAAGGTCTTGACGCCGTCAGAAAAAATCAATACTTTGGTTCACTGTGACTACTGGTGCAACAACCTCCTCTTCAAGAACGGCGAGGAGCGCACAGACTGCTGCATAATCGACTGGCAAATGGTCACGTACGGAAGGCCAGCCATAGACTTGGCCTTTTTGATAAGCACGTCTTTGGAAACGGGCGAGCGACGCAAACATTGCCCAGACCTTCTGTCTCATTACTGGGAGGCTTTCACCTCGAGGCTCTCCAAGTACGGCATAGGAAAGGAAAGCCACAAGTACAGCAGGGAAGACTTGGAGGCAGATTTCAAGGCGGCGCAGACGATGGCAGGCTTGGTCGTGGTTGGGAGTGTGGACATTGCCCTCGGGTTCCCGGCCCGAGAGGAAAGGGTGCTGGAGCTCCTGGCGGACCTGCTGAAGGTCGGCATTCTATGAAACACCTGAAGAAAAGAACATGCAGCTGATATTTGTAAATAGCAGTGTTAATGATGATATTAGAAATGAAAATCGTGGAGAAAATCTTTAAATGAAGTATCGAGCTTAATGCAACAATAACGTCTCATATATATACCTGGGCAGAAACATAGAGGTGATTTTGATGTATATCTATTTTATAATTTATGGATTATCTGTGAACAGTACTTTTCTATGAAAAAGAGAAATGTTACACATTAATTGTGTTAGATCATAATTAGGCTAGAAATCCGAAAGATATATTAATTATAACTGTCTGTAGCCCATGGTAGTGCCTTGGTATAGGGTACCGCTAATTGGAGTAACCCCTTGGGCAGATAATGCTAATTGGCATGAAAGTTATCGATTTGTTTCCTCATTTATTAGATATAAGGTCAAGTGCTAGCTTCGTAGTGCACCACCAGCTGGTCTGGCCCCAGGACCACCTCTGACTCTCCTTCTGTTTGCCCTTCCTCTCCGACCCATTCCAGAAGACGATAAGACACTCAGAGAACGGCGTTTATCATAGACTATTTTTTTTAAATTATTATTTTTTTTATTATTGCTCTGGCGTTGAAATTCAACCTGATGCATTATCATTGCTATTCCCGGTACCCATTTCTCAAAAGTGTCTGCTAGTTAACTATCTCCTCACAGACCGCAGCTTAACCCAAAGCAGACCACTTCTTGACCCTGCAACCAACCCCATGCTGTTAGAGACAGACTGCAAGACTTCAAATTCGCCATTATTCAACTGAATGAGTGGAAACCCTCAATGTAAACACACCCATGTTGTTATTGTAAGATGCAAGATGTCAGTATTGCTATCAACGGCGACTTCACTAGATTACGCTGATTCAATTGTTTGTAGGTGCTTTGAAATCTGTGAAGAAAATGGATTTGTCCAGATAACCAACACACGACCCATGTTATATCAGTTCCAGTATAACTCAGACAACACAGTAAATGCTAGATAAAGCAACATAGGTTCGTAGCTAAAGGGATATATTATTTTACACTTTGTGGAAGTAGTAATGAGTGAGACAAAGATCTTGCTAAAAATATAATAAACCAGAATAATATCTCCTTTGGAAGGGCAGCTCACTATGTAGTATTGTTATACGAAAGGGTTGACCGTTAACTGAGTAGACATTCCAATTATTTACTTTTCTATTTACTGAGAAGCATGTTGTGAAATCATGGCTCCTTAGTCTGTTGTGTAAGTACATTTTATTACCAATCAAATGACGGCTAAATGTGCTTTATCATCACAGCATCTCGCGCTACAGGTTATCATTATGAGTAATAATTAATTGATATTACGAAGCAGGTGGAGTTGGATATATATATATTTTCTTGTTAACTGCAGTTAACTATTTCAGAATCTTATTTTTGTGTGTGTGAGTTTTTGCAGGTCTTAATGTGTACTTGTTACCTTTTTTATTTTATTTTTTATTTTCTTATTTTTTTTTTTTAGAATGACTTTTCTTTTATTTTTTTATGCATAAAGCTTACATGTAAATGCTTACATATATATTATGCATACTTACATAAATAGATAAGTTTGAAGATTCCCACTGATATATTACGCAGACATACACATACACGGACACGCATATGCACACACGCGCACATAAAACACACACACGCTCGCGCGCGCGCACGAAATATATGTCTCCTTTCTTTTATTTCATTCATCTTAAAAACTTCTGACATTTTGCATAATAAGTAAGAACATTGTGATTGTCATTATTTTTAAGAAATTGTTGACATTTCTGTAACCATATATTAATGAAGTTGATTTTAAAAAAGCGTAA